TGGGGGGATGGGGTAACTGGGTGATGGGCATGAAGGAGGGCCCTTGATGTAATGAGCATGCGTGTTATATGCAACTGATGAATCACTAAATTCTACCCCTAGAACTAATAATACATTATATGTTAACTAAACTGAATTTAAATTCTAAAAGAGGGGGAGCAGGGTTCCCCAAGAGACAATGAGACAAGATCCCCTTCCCCTCCCGGCCCGCCCCGCCCACGTCTGCTCCTAGCACATCCTTAGGCGGTGTTCTCGTGTGAGAGGACCCTAGGGAAGCTAAAAGTTAAAACTGCTAACGGGATGCCTAGGTGGCTCAGTCGTTAAGCGTCTGCCTTCAGCTCAGGCCATGATCCCAGCATCCTGGGATCGAGCCCCGCATCGGGCTCCCTGCTCCGCGGGAAGCCTGCTTCTCCCTCTCCCACTCCCCCTGCTTGTGTTCCCTCTCTCGATGTGTCTCTCTCTGTCAAATAAATACATAAAGTCTTTAAAAAAAAAAAAAAAGCTGCTACCCACTCTTGCCGCTTCCTGATAGGTGAAAAGCACCTCCTAGCACTTCACAAGTGTAGCTGTAGAACACGAGCAGGACTAGGACTCGGACTGCTCAACCCTGTTTTCCCCCCAAGAGCAGAGTAGGCTCTGTGCACTTTATTTTGTAAGAAAGAGATGTGAGGGACAAGTGAGGCACCTCCTGCCACAGCCTCCTCCCCTGCCCTGTGCAGGGGTCCAGTGCACTCTCTTTGCCCCCAGGGGGCCAGTGCTCCACCAGCCTGGCACTGAACGGAACATCTCAACAGCAGAACAGTTATAAAAACACAGTTTCTCCCGGTAAATGCTTATAGTCTGAGACCCAACCAAGGCTTCCCTCCCTTCTTCAAAAGTGTCCAGCTTCTTCCTCACAGAAAGAACTCTCCCCAGTCCATGAATTCCCTCCTGGACCATCTACAGGATCTAAGAGGGAACCTAAGCCCCTTTACTAGACACTGACAGCAGTGTGGCCAGGCCAGGCGAGGCCCATTTCCGGAGCTGGCTGTTGTGGCTGCACAAGCCCTCGGCGGACAGGCCTCCTGTAGCAGCAGCAGGTGTACAGGTAACAAGGCCAGAGGAGGGGACACCAAGTGTCTTCTCCACAGGGAGGGGGCGCCAGGTACAGGGTGGGGGAGGGTATAGCCAGGTACACCCCCATGCCATCTCGTTTAACCAAAAGATCAAGCTCAGCAGCTCCAAACTCAGCATTCCCGGACGCAGCCCATTCACCCGGCTCTGATTTCAGGATCTCCAGCATCTTCTTTCGGTTCTCTTTCACGGCCGGTGGGGGAATTCCTGGGAGTTGTTATCTGGGGCCCAGGGCTTCCCAGGGACCCTGGGGACTTTGGTTAACTTTGAACACACCACAGGTGAGACTCTGGCCAAGTCTTCGGACCCCAGCAGCCCCTCGAAACCAAAGCAAGACAGACCGGCAGCCTGGGGCGGAGGTGGAGACACAGCCAAGGGTCTCCAGCAGGCTGGAGGACCGCCTGCACAGAGACAGACATTTCTAAGTCTCTGGCACCCAGGTCTGCTTCCCTGAAGTCAGACTCAACATTCAGGGGGTACAGCACAGGAGTGGTGGTGGGGGTGACATGGATATTACATGTCTTGAAGAGATCCTCCTTAGCAGGCTCCTTGCTAGGAGGGTTGGTTTCCTTCTCCAAGAAAAAAGCAATCCTGGGACTCCTTTGAGGCATGTGGACAGTATGGGCCACAATCTTCAATCTTTTTTTTTTTTTTAAGTTTTATGTATTTATGTAATCTTTACATCCAACGTGGGATTAGAACTCACAGCCCCAAGATCAAGAGCCACATGCTCTTCCGACTGAGCCAGCCAGGCACCCCTTAAAATGATGTGCTTTCTAACTAGAGCCACATGGGGTGCCTTGGCCAGATTTCAGGAAGGGTACTCGATCAGGGCCTGATTTCTGCTGGGACCTCCACAGAGACTGAGTAGGATTGGGGCCCTGGCTCTGGAGCACTGGGCCCCTCGGAACCACATTCACCTCTCAGACACATAAGCCTTGGTCTCCATCTTGGCCATCGCTGGGGCTCACACCAACCCAGAGGGCCGATGGAGACCCTACATGACTTATTTTTAGAAGGTAGTCCCCAGTTCTTTTCCCCTTTATTTTTCATCACCAAGATGCAACCACTTTATCTTTTAGCCATTTCTTTTTTTAAAGATTTACTTATTTGAGAGAGAGAGAGAGAGAGCAAGTCTGAGCAGGGGGAGGGGCAGAGGGAGAGAATTCCAAGCAGACTCCCTGCTAAGTGTGGAGCCTGCCCCAGGGCCCGATCTCATGACCCTGAGACCACAACCCGAGTCAAAATCAAGAGTACGACGTTTCTTAACTGACGGAGCCACGTGGGCGCCCCTTAGCCATTTCTAAATAACACGCTTATATTGCATTTTCTTGGTTTTTCAAATTTGCTATTATCTACTCATCTCCCACTGTACGAGAGAGAATTCAGCTCATTCATACCTGTGATGGTTATACTCTTAGGGTGGTTCCATGACTCTCACCCTGCTGGGATTTGTATCTAGGTAACAAAAACATGAACATATAACTCAAGTCAGTAACCTAACTCAGAGAGAAGTCTTGCCTTTGCCATTGGCTTCTGGCAGGTAATCACTAAGCCCTTGGAACATGCCAGAAAGTCTAACAAAGTGATTTATGGTGGGGCTTTGGGTCATGATGGCCAGAGCGGTTGGACTCTGAGGTTAGACATGTAGACAGTCAACCACTGAGCTCCAATAAAAATTCTGGACACAGACTCAGATGAGCTTCCCTGGTTGGCAATATGCCACGTGTATTGTTATATGCCGATGCAAGAGAATAATGCATCTGTGACCCCATAGGGAAGGGAGGACAGAAGCTCTGTTTGGTCTCTGCTCTATGTGCTCTTCCCTTGGCTAATTTCAACCTGCATCTTTACCATGTAATGAACTGTAACCAGTAACCAGGAGTATAACTGTTTCAGCGAGTTCTGAGTCCTTCCAGCAAATTACCAAACCTAAGAGTGCTTGTGGGAATCTCCTGAAACTGCAGTTGGTGTCAGAAGTGAGGCTGCTCTTGTGGGGGTTGTTTTTCCCCTGTGTAGTTGGCTAAACTGGCATAACACTCCTGAGTGAGTTCCCTCCCCTGGAATATGTGTGGGACCTGTGACTTGCTTCCAACCAATTAAATATGGTAAAGGACGTGGAGGGTACACGATTATGGACATGCAGTTATGTTAAATAAGACTGTAGCACGGCCTCGTGCTGGAATCTCTCCCTCCCTTGAGCTCTGAAGTGACCTGCCACGTTGCATGGGCTGCTAGTGCTGGGAGGCTGGCATGGCAAGGAACACAAAGCAGTTCCTAGCAGCTAAGGACAACCGCTGGCTGCCATTCAGGAAGAAACTGAAGTCCTCAGTCTTACAAACGTGTGGACCTAAATACTGCCAGCAAAGGTGGATCGTTCTCGGTCAAGCCTCAGATGAGACTGCAGCCCCACCTGACACCTTGATGGTAGCCTTGTGAGACCCTGTGCAGAGCCATGACCAGGATCTTGACCCACACACACTGAGAAAATAAATGTGTGTTGCTTGAAACCATTAAGTTTGTGGTAACTTGTTATGCAGCAATAGCAAACTATAGAATCCAACCCCTGTACCCCACTGTCACCATACAAGCACTCAGCCTGTTCCCTTATCCTCCCCAAATAACTCATCATAATTCTGATAAGACTAAGAGTCAATGGTTATATTACTTTGGCTTCATATATAAATACAGCTGAGCAATATTCTCAAATCAGAACTTTTCTTGCATGCATTCGTTTTTCCTCTGGAATTAAAAAGTTTGGACTTTTTTGGTTTCTGTCTAGTTTTCTATTAGTTAGCATTCACTGTCCCCAAAACTCTCCTCCAAATGTCTAACTGTTCTCTTAGTATGTTTAAGTAGGTTGTTAAACAAGATGTATAAAGGACGCCTGGGTGGCTCAGTCGTTAAGCGTCTGCCTTCGGCTCAGGTCATGATCCCGGGGTCCTGGGATCGGGTCCCACATCAGGCTCCCTGCTCCACGGGAGGCCTGCTTCTCCCTCTCCCACTCCCCCTGCTTGTGTTCCTGCTCTCGCTATCTCTGTCTCTGTCAAATAAATAAATAAAATCTTTAAAAAAAAATTAAAAAATAAAAAAATAAACAAGATGTATAAAGTGCACAAACTATGAAGGAGAAGACTGATAAATTCAACTACATTAAAATTTTAAAATCTGGTTTACTGGGGCACCTGGGCAGCTCAGTTGGTTAAGCGTCTGCCTTCAGCTCAGGTCATGATCCCAGGGTCCTGGGATGGAGCCCCACATCAGGCTCCCTGCTCAGGGAAGCCTGCTTCTCCCTCTCCCACTCCCCCTGCTTGTGTTCCTTCTCTCGCTGTGTCTCTGTGTCAGATAAATAAATAAAACCTTTAAAAAAAAAAAACAACCCTGGTTTACTAAAAGACACCAAAAATGGTAAAGACATGCCACACGTTATTCATTATGTAGGCAAGCAACAAAGCATAAATATCCAAAGTATATGAAGAACTTCTACAAAACAATGAGAAAACAATACAATAGCCAATAAGAAAATGTACAAAATACACAAGTAGGAAAAAGTTAATGAACAGCAGCTGCCTCTAAGTTGAATGCTGCCTGAGCAGAGGAGAAAGGGCAATTCCATCCGTTCCTTTAAGTGTTGTATGCATGTATTGCCTTTTCAGAAATACATATAAAAGTGTTATGAGGCATAGTAGGCCTTCAATTATTTGACAGATGAATGAATGAGGGGCTCTCCGCTGAGCAAAGAGCTGGATGTGGGGCTCGATCCGAGGACCCCAGGATCATGACCTGAGCCGAAGGCAGCCACTTAACCGACTGAGCCACCCAGGCGCCCCTCAAACATTCCAATTATTATAAAGTCACTCTAAATTCTTATTTTTAAAAATATAATTTCAAAATTCATGAAAAACTGGAAATCCATTGTTTCTTTCATATTCAATTTGCTGTGATAGAAATTCTTTACTTATTTTGTCAATTTGGTCCCGAGCGAATAGATTGAATCCAGGAATAAAATAATGCTTGAGTTGTTCAATCTTGAGGCACTCAAGAAAGTATGTCACGCAGTTATCAAAGCAGAGCTCTAGGTCTCTGGGGTGCCACTGACTGTCTTGCGGGTCCTGGGTACAGACATGAAAGAAGGCAGTTTTCATATGGTAGGAGCAGAATTTATCCAGTTCCTTTCGGTGTCCAAACTTTATTTTCAATTGTTCTAAGAGATACTTCATTAGTTTTAAGCAATCTTTCCTATTGAATAAAAAAAGAAAACCACTTATTATTATTTTTAAAGATTTTATTATTATAAAAAGCCACCCAAATACAGAGACACATCCAATTGTTGTGGCTAGCCATGGTGAGTGTTCATATCCTCTCACCCTGTCATACTTTATACAACTAACTGATCTAGGTTCAGGAATATGCTCTCGCCTTGCCTTCTAACAACGCTATTTCCTTGGGCCCTTGGATCTGGCTTCCCTGGTTTCATGCTCATCCCCTAGATAATACTCCAGGGTCAATCCAGACACGCACTGCCCCCAGGACTCAACTCAGCAATGATCATCTTCAGGTTAGAGCTATGAAATCAGTAAAGAATTAAATGTTCAGGGGCGCCCGGGTGGCTCAGTCAGTTAAGCATCTGCCTTAGGCTCAGGTCATGATCCCAGGGTCCTGGGATCGAGCCCCATGTCGGGTTCCCTGTTCAGTGGGGAGTCTGCTTCTCCCTCTCCTTCTGCTCCTCCCCCTGCTCATGCTCTCCCTCTCAAACAAATAAATAAAATCTTTAAAAAAAGAATTAAATGTTCCATAGATAATCTACCATTTAACAAAACAAGGAAGTTACCTGCAACATTTTACTCCATCAGTTTCACAGCATGTTTTAGAATGTCCATGACTTTTCAAAAGGTCCTTTTCAATGTGAGAGAAGGACAGCCGCCATGTTTCTTCTTAATTTCCAAAAGAAAAATAGAAAAGCACTTTACCAAAAACATTCATATATAAACAACACAATACTAAGTGATTTCCTTCATTAAAATATCACTCTGGAAGATTTCTAGGGGGAGACAGACCAAAAGAAGTGAATAGATAAATAATGTAATTACATATTGAAACAAGTGACTTGAGGGCGCCTAGGTAGCTGTTCTGTATGGATACATGTTTTTGTGATTTGTCCCGCATAACTGACCACCTGGATGTGCATCGACACAGGCAGGCTAAGGAATATTGTTTGTGAGACTCATGCTGTGTGAAGAACCTTGGGAGCCTAATTGTTTAAACTATATTAGCTGGCCTCCACATCAGAACCGGCCCTTCTGTTCTGGATGCCAAGACCTACAAATCTTGTCTCACATACCCTCCTGCTCCAGGCTGGGCTGGCCCCCCCAGAATGGAATCTAAGAAGAGAAGCAGATACACGTAGCCCAGGCTCCTTGAAAATACAGAAACATGATCACACGGAGGTGCACCTCGCTCCAAACCATGTAGGCGAACAAATGTTTCATTTCAAACCCTGTTATTTGCCCTGTGAATATGGCCCTTATGGGGATGGTCAGTGGGAAGTCTCACCTGAGGGGAGGATGCTCCGCCCAGGCCTCTCAATCGGGACTCCAACTTGTTTCCACCGGGTTCCCTTGCTGTTGAGGTTGGATGTTGTAAGCACCCAGTTTGATGTAACTTTGCCTTATTCTCACTCATTGCCTACTATTACCTTCATCCGTGTGCAGATTCCTTTCCTCTCCT